CAATTCAGCATATATCGCGAAAGAGTTTTCGATGATGTTGCAAAGAAGTGGCTCTTGATCTATAGAGTCACAAAGGATTGCGGAAATGTCGCATACAAAGACTTCTTCGAAAAGGTTGCCGTTCCCGAGGTGAAGGAGAGGAACGAGATTTTTGGATTCTCCCGTGCATCTGCCGAGAAAACTGGAGATATCATCGAGTTCTGGCTTGGTGTCTTGGACGTGGCCAATATGGCCAAGGGAGTCGTGGATGTTTTCAATGCTAGCGTTGATCCAGCTGAGTATCTCAATGGACTGGAAAAGGCACTGGCTCAATTCACATCGACCTCCCGAACCTCGAGCACCATCAATGACAAGAGACGGGGATCCTTCGACTGCACACTGCAAACTGCAGAAGCCGAAAGGGTCATGAAGCTCATCCACGCAATCCCCGGATATGACTCGCTGGCCAATTTCTGCTGCCTCACGGACTGGGAGAAGGATCAGGTATTCTCTCATTATCGCAGGAAGAACAACATCACAGGGGGTGACGCCAGCATGGGCACTGATGCCGATGCCAAGCCAGGTGACGAGTCGTCGGCTCACCCTGGGGAGGAGGAAGCTGATGAGCCAGCGAACGACCCCACCGATGTGGTCAGAGACTCAGAGAATTCCGGGAAACAACAACTTTTGGATGCGTTGGGAAAACTCTTTACCGTCTCTGAGGATGTCAACGTGTGCTTGTATTGTGGTAGCACCAAACATGGCCATCTTGAATGTGAACATGAGAAGAGGGATGAAGTCAGAAAGGTGCTAAAGGCCGTCCGAGCGTCGCTCGAGGCTGATAGTCCAACATCTGATGACGTCGATATGGAGCCTCCTGAGCACAAGAAGGACGGTTCAGGTGCTACTGATGGGTCGGGGCAAACGGATGAACCTACAAAATCGAGGTTTAGTGAACACCAATGGTACGACAGCATCAGAACTATGTCTGAAGTTGGTGACCTCGATGAGTATGGTAGATTCTGCATAGAAGGACGTGATGTTACAAAGCTAGGACCACAGAACATTGTTGACCTCAACGAAGTGGTCCGAGACGCTATTGTCAGAGGAGGAGGTGACTCTTGGTCAGTGCCAGACTTCATGGCAAGCTACTCTGATAATAACATCAGGAAGCCCTTCTACAAGAGAGTCGAGGCGCCGCAAGATGGTTTCTTGAAAATCATCCCGACTACGGGGGCCCATTTCTTCAACTGCTCTTACTTTGGCGGTGTAGAATATGCGGCCAACTACCGCTTCGAGACTGGCAACCGGCTCAATACCTACGAGGACAAGGTGAGTACATCACTAAACAGGATCCTGCGGCACAACGTGGGGAAGGTATCAGAACAACAGAGTCTGTCATGTGATGACGCCGGCTGGGTGCCCATCGAGGAGGTGCTAAAATGTGAGTCCATCTGGAGGCACGAGTACGCACGCTGGCCACATGTATTCCTTGCTCCAAAAGGAAGAGCAAATGATCAGAATGCATGGAATGTCGATGAGGCAAACTACCGCATGACATTGCTCTTCAAGATCATGTTCCACTGTGCCCGGTATGGACGTCGTGTTCGTGAACAAGTCTTGGCATTTGGTATCAACAAGGACATTGAGCGCACCAGCCTGACGTGCATTGACAACAAAGTCGATGCGGACACGAACATTCCTGATGAAGGTCTACTGCTCTACCCTGTGGCGGTCCGTGCTCCTACGGGGCACAAAGAAGGATCTTCAAGGGACGACGTCTCATTGCTGTCCTCATTACTTTCACATCCAATCGCGCCCAACACCATTTTGTCGTTACCGGTTTGTTTCCACATCACCAAGAAGACCAACCTTCGAAGCATTTGGAGGCAGGGATTAATTCCAGGAGGTCTTGGAGAAGGTCATCGGATGTTCACGTTCTTCAATCCGTATGTGCCATGGGATCACAGATCATGGACCATCACGAAGAGCGTTGATACGCGAAGGGGGGACTACATTTGCTTGTTCGTCCCGACCGAGACCTTGATGGTGGAATATGGCGGTCGACTGACTGACTCGGGACAGATCGTCTCACCAAAGATCATCCCGTTCTCGGCAATCAAAGGAGGATGGATTCAGGACCCAAAGGACCAAAACAATAAGACATGGCTCCGGTTGTTCGTCCCGTCGGGCGACGACCAGGTAGTCCGGTCTGGAACTATCAAATCAAGAACGGTAGCCACCAAGGAGTCCATCTTGAGGGTTGCAAGTCAGTGCATCGACGCCGAAGATCAACCGTTTGACGAAACCGCCATGGATGCCATGAACATCGTCAACCAATTCAAGAACAACCTCATCGAGCCTGGCGGACAAGAGCAATACCTGGCCCGCATCAAGCTGATTGACTACATAGTCGAACGCAAAAGGGTGCAAACATCAGGTTGCCGCCATTGTCCTCACTGTCTCAATGAGACGCCGACAAAACTAGCAGTGTGTCTAGTTTGCTGGACGGAACTTGAAAGTTGTGGAATCCGTCCCTATCGGCTACAAGCTCCTGAAGACGATGAAGATGAGGCCACGAAGAAAGAGATCGATGAAGAAGTTCGTCGACAAGAAGAATCGTTGTTCAAGGATACGGTCCATCAAGCACAAGAAAACGTATCCGAATCCAACGACTATGGCTTCAATCCTGACGAGGTCGACTACAACGAAGGCGATGATGAGGAAATGGATCAGGAGGAGGAAGCCCAACAGGAAGACGACGAAATCGTTGAAGAAGACGACGATGAAATGGAAGTCGAACCTGAAGATGAACCCTCTTCCAAACTTCCAGCATGGACCAAGAACCTCGAGAGCGGCAGCAAGGGTATGCCAGAAGACGGACTTATCAACAATGATGTCTCCGAGGCCGCGGCTCACTTGTATGACAATGCCGTCATGTCAAAGATCATCACAATGTTCAGGCTCTACTACAAACAGAGAGTCACTCTGACCCCAGAGGAGTACTATGAGATGATGACGGAAACCAAGCGAGTCCGGCTGGACCTGGACGACTTCTGTCCTTATACAGGAGAAGACCAGGATGGCAACCTCAAGCGCCCGACGGAGCTGGAGTTGGATGAACTCTTTCAGGAGAAAGGGAAGAGGAATTCATGGTCAGAAGGAGAGAAGTTATACTCAGGGCGACCAAGAAACATGATGATGCCTGTCATCAAGACTTTAGAGATCTATGAGAAGATGATGGAATTTCTGGTACGCGCTGGGTACACTCCTGAGTCATTAGGCTTTCTCATGCCAATGAACCGAATGCAGGCTGATGCCCAAGGGAAACAGGAGATGCGAGTAACCATCAGCAATTTCCTTCGACGACTGCTCAAAGGAACCTTTCCAGAGCACGAGTCATACACCTTCTTTCGCTCCGGGAGCCACGGCTTCCCCAACTGCATCGAACTCCCAGCTTTCTCGGTATATCTGAGCCTGAGGGAGAAAGAACAGAGAGTAGAACTGCTCTTTGCCGCCCAACAATGTGGCATTCCTTTACCTCAAAACTTTGTCAGCAAGATGGCCTATGCTATTCAGCTGGCCGAGGCCGAGGCGCAGAGGGGAAAGACCGAGATGAAAACGAAGATGGCTCCAACCCTTGGCGACGAAGTGGTGAGTGAAGTATTCAAAGCGGTTGGACATACGGCAGCTTCCAAGTTTGCTAAACCACCCGCACAACCTTCACAGACACCTGAAGGCACTGGTTCAGCATCATCCTCATCGGCTAGCGCACCAAAGGGCAAGGCTATGCCGAAATCCCATGAACCATCAAAGGCACCGCCTGCAAAGCCTTCATCGCCGAAAGCTGCTCCGAAACGTGCGGCAGGATGGGAGAGAACTCCAACAGCACCTCAATGGAAGAAAGTCCGCCGTGAGCAGTAAACCAATTACTTCGATCCGTCAAAATGATCACTGGGCTACAAGATGTTTATCGTCTTTATGAACAGATGATCAGGAAAAGACCAACTGAGTGGACACTGAGCGAGGCATTAGACTAATTCGCTTAGGTTCAAGACTTTTGATATTCCCAATCTGCACGAGATTCTGCATTGTGCACGTGAATTCGTTAGTTAGCATTGTAAATCTTTGGTAGCGAGGCGATCCATTTCTCCCGACGGGTGAGTGGCATGCTTAGCCAACGTAGAAAAGTAGATGTTAGCTAGCAATAATTCGCGTTGTACAGCTTGAGGAAGCGCCGATGCATCGACAGCCAAAGAGTAGGCGAACCCTGAACCATTATTCCCGACGGGTATGTGGGGAAGGGGGAGCCGAATGGCATGTTTTATGTACATAGGCGTAATTCGAGTAGCAGAAGAATCTAATTCAAAGTTCCCACTCTCGTGCCTATGGTTCGAAGATGCCATAGGCATGGGGGGCGCGAAGGGGAACGAGATAACACAGTAGTCACACATGCTGAGCATGTGCACATTCTTGCATGGGACGCCACTTTGGCTCAAGACCCACTGCGAGGCCAAGATAACGCGCTCCGCTGCTGCATGGTTTGACAGCTCTGACTATCAGCACATAGGGAACTACAACCGAAAGATATCCAGAACAAGGATCAATTTGTTCACATATATAGTATACAATAGTATACATATGTATATACATTATTATAGAGGCGACAAGGGAAATTGGACGGCTCAGCACATGTTCCACATCTTGCTGGTTTTCAACTGAATCAACCGAGGGTAGAGATGACCTCCCCAATGGGCAAAGCTCGGCTTCATTTTGATTGATGCAGTAGACCCAATCATGAAGCAGATACAGCAGATACCTACTTTTCGCATCTTTTCGCATTTGAGATTTTACGATTTTGACGACTTGCGGTGGGTTTAGCACTTTTTTTAAAATGTTTGTTTTGTTGGATCAAGTTGGATCCCCGCATTTTCACATGACCTCGATCACCTCCGGATGACTTGGGATGATTTTTGGGAATGGCTCAAGCGAAATGATCGTGGTCAGATGAACCCAGAATCTCAGCTTTCGAGCTGTACCATAGCATGCATAACATGCATAGCATGCGCCATGTGTCACTGAGAAACGCATTCCCGATTTTTCGGGTGCTGCTCCTCTCGCTATTGGCACCAGCCAGTGGCCTGCGAACTGTTGCAGATGAAGCTCCTGGTGAGCGTCCTGAAGGCGCCTCTGTGGGGATGTCCAAAGCTGGTTTCACGTGGTTTAATCAGTTTGTCATAATCATGTTTTAATCTGTTTTAATATGATTTAAATTTTAGTCAAGTTTAGTCAAATTCAATATTGAATGCTGTCATCATACTTGCAGGATATCATAGGCAAGTGTGACATGACATGTTAAATGTTATATTTAGTAATCACTAGCTCGTGGACTTCTCCATGTATAGCCAGCAATTAGCCACTTTTTATACACTGATGGTTTCCAATGGGGTCTTGCCCAGCCTCAGGATCAATGGTGGCCTGGTATCATCAGATTCCCCATCGACGCCTGATGCTAGTGGTCTATCCTGCCATGGCCGTTGCAGCAGTTCTGCTTCTGGTGCTCGTCGTCATTGCACTGCGGAGCTCACGTGAAGAGACCTTGCCGAACAAGACGCGACGACAGTCTCTGAAGGACCGTGTTGACATCCAAGCTGAAGTTGAGGTTCTAGACCCTCCATCATCCTCCATCACAAGTCCGAGTTTCCTTTTCAGACAATGGGATACAAGACGATGCAAAGGTCCCCCGGTGGATGTTAAACTCCCAACTTGAAAGCCGGTGACCTTACCACCATATGTGTCCGCGAGGTGAACCGATTGATGGTGCGGCTGGGCGCATCAGGAGCGGTTGAAGTGCTCCACCCTGAGACCACGTTGGTTGAAGACTTCCGGCAAGTGCGGGGCCCAGATGAAAAAGGGATGAGAGGAATGACAGTTCCAACGATTTCCAACGTGTTTGCTATTACCATCATTTACCTGCTCATATCATCATTTTAAATCATATTGATCATCGCGTATCCGCCTACCAAACTTCACAACTCTACAACTCCAGGCCTTCACATGGACTCGACTGGGTGTCTTTTGGGTCGCGATTCTGCTGTCCTTTGCCTTGGCCGTCTTTGGAGACTTGGTGCCGTTGGAGTCATGGGGCCCACCAGGAGGTTCAGAATTCTTTCGGAAACACCCCACCCCAAATTACCTTAGTTTTGTTTCGGAATTCGAACTCACGATGCTGACTTTGAATTCATATGAATTAATGTATATAAATGATATTAAATGATTATAAATGTATATAATATGTATATCAGCAACCCTTCATGCGTGGGAAGCTCCAGAAAGTGCACCCCTTCCCCTTGCGCAAAAGTCGGGTCTTGATCCCTCAGATTCCCCCAAGATGAGCCACTTTAAGCCAAGGAGACAGTAAACTGTTTATGATGAAGCATTCAGTGGGGAACATTGCGTCCATGGAAGCCTGTGAAGCAGCTTGTCATGCAGACCCTACAGCGTTTCTTGGCAAGCAACAGTTGTATATAAGTTATGATAGTTATGTCAATATTCATACTTAATACTTACAGTACATAGTTAGTTGATTTGTCCGGGCTGGGTGGGGATAGCTCCAACTGTATGTTGTTCTTTCAAAGTCCAATATACAGAAAGCAGAAGTCTGGCAACGGCAGGCAGTGTGGCCTCAACGACATCAAATTTGAAAAGGTGGAAAAGAAGTCCTGCGAGCTTTCTGGGACCTGTCGCTTGGGCTTTGAGTTTCAGACATCATTCGACAGGAAGGTTTACAAATGACGCGTGACTCCCTGCCAAATGCTGGAAAGGTATGGAAAGATATTGATATATTTGATATGATCAGATAGAGTACTTGGGCTGTTTCAACTTTTGGGATCCATGGATGCCATGGATGCCATGGATCTCCACATCTTTCCTTCGGCAAGGCAAAGAAGATGTGCCGTCACCCACAGTTGAATTTGTCGCGACCCCAGCTTGAGGGTTTGCCACGACGTATTGAAGACCAGTGTCTAAATTTGCGGGAAATTGGAAATCAACTTCTGGGTTTTGGATAATTTTCATTTGTTGTGTGCGATGACTGTATCAAAGCAATATCATTGAGAGGTTTTGCGGGCTGCTTGTTTGTTCTCAAACTCATCAATTCATTCATGCTTGCTCATAGTTTGGCTAACATGATTGTTAGATATTGTTAGAGTATTGCTCGTGGTTTGGAAATTGAGGTCAAGTGCACTTTCAATGTGGCCCCAGAGGCGGCAGTGGCAGCTGGGAGAGGAGACGGAACTATCAGAGAGAAAGGAACCCCAAGATGAAAAAGTGGGAAGCCAATTTCATTTCTATTCTGCATCGCCAGAATAGGTGCGGTCTTCTTTGGTTCGTGTGGTGATAACCTTGCAAGGATCCTGACTATCGGGGTGAAAGAAAGTGCATACACTCAGCTTATCGTACATTCTCTTGATGCTTGACTCCCAAACTTCCCAAGCTGTTGATGGTTTCGCTGGTTCATGGAGATTTCAAGCATCCGCAGTGTCAAATTGCGTAGAAATCCATGATACAACGGCAACAACGCATGACATTCAACAGATTTCAACAGCCATCGTCCCGGAGATTCCATTGCAGATGGTTCATTCCTCAGGCGTGGAAAGTGGACTTGGTTCTCGTCTCAGCCATCGTGGGGATTTACCTCATCGTGGAAGGACTCCCCGCAGAACTCATTTTGTTTGGCCTGAACTGCATCTATGGCATTCTGGGCATCATTTCCGTGAAGCAGGTGCCCTGGGGTTGCTGCAATTTCCTGCAAAGCATTGAAGTTTTGAAGTAGACTCAGTACTGTAGCTGGATAAACCTGGTTATGGTTGATACAGTATGTTTGGAGAGTAATAGTGATATTTTGATGAACTCGTTTACCCCCGTACATCCAGATTTAATGATGAGTAAAACATATTAAAACCATGGACCATGTCAAACCATCATATTCTTGGTAGGTATCACACTAAAATGATGCTTAGTAGCCGTAGTTTAAACCATGTCAAAGCCCGGTAGATCCCCATGAAACCGCCGTCCGGCGGTTGCAGGTTTGGGGCGGCTTGGCCAGCGGAAGCGTTGTGGGCCTGGCCTTGCTCTTTCCCATCGCAGCGGCCATTGAGGAGACAGGCGCAGTGCGAACCATGGGGAAAACCGTGGAAAAACCCGGGAAAACAATGAAAAACCATGGGAAAACAATGGAGATATAGATGGGAATTGTCATGGAATTGTTCAATCGGAAGTTGGATGGGAGTTTAGCAGCATGAGTACAAGACAAAACAATTATGATGACCGGGAATTATTCTATGTATTTCTATGTTATTCCTCAAAAGCTATGTATATCACCATCTGGATTCAGGGATCGCAACCAGCCTAGCCTGTAGAAGCTCCATCAGCTGCCTCAGCCATCAGTTCTTTCAGGTGTATTGGATGTTGCAATTGGAGTTATGCTGGGGAATCCTCAGTCGTTTATTGTGGACACTTGGAGAATTGGTGATTGGTGTTACAGAGTCACGAACATGTTTCTGTGGGGTATGCTGTTGCATGTTGTGGCACAGGCGGTGTCCTCTTTTTCATGCACATTTGAAACGTGCATCCAAGGCGTTCTTCCGCATGTTGATCCCTGTGGCCCTTTTGTCGGTCCATTGCTCAATGCAAATCCGGGGGTGATAACGAAGTGATGACAGTGGGAGAAGCAGCTGAAAAGGAGAAACTATAGGGAAGTGTTTCTGCCCGGGAGTTCGAACCAGTTCAGCTCTTTGGGATTTCGTCGGATGTGTTAGGGCCAGGGATTGTATTTCGGACAATACATGGGCGTTTTTTAGGAGAACATCAATCCCGCCTTGTAAGGCCTTCCTTAGCAACACCGCCATCGTGACCATGATGATTCCCGTGATCGTGTCGTGGTCGCGCACGCTGGGGGAGCATCCTGGAAAGCTGTTGATGCCCTTGTCCTTTGCCGCAGCCTGGCAGTCCGCCTGGCAGTCCGGTGAATCCTGGTGACCTGAGTGATGGCTGGTTGATGGTTGATGGGGTCCAGTTGTTGGTCAAGTGGGGTGTCCTTTAGTGTTGGTGAAGCAGCAGCTTTTTGTTCATGGAAGATCATTAAACCAGATTCCAGATTATTATTAAACCATATTAAACCATATTAAACCCAAAGCAATAACGGCACCTTGCCGAGATAGCCGGTCTTTGTGTCTCAATGTTCAGAAGATCACCACTGTGTCCAGTCACAACATGACACACGCCACGCAGATGTATCGCAGATGTTTAAATAATTTTAAATATCTCAGCTCTGCAGGGTTGAGACAACGAATTTTGCCATATTTTGCCCGCATCCAGGCCCAACTTGGAGGATCTTGTACACTGATTGGTTCTTCCCATTGTTTGGTGGCGCGTGAGAGTGTGGACAAGACACTGTACGAGATGAGTTTCTTTGACCTTTCTTACAGTGGCACCATCCTTTGTTTAAGCACTTTTGTGCTGATGGCGTTGTCTCTGCCCTTCCTAGCATCATCAGCGGCTGCTGCGGAAACTGTGCTGGAAGACGACGTCAACCAGGAAAATCTCTATTTGGTGAAATTCACTCTGCGCCGGGGCAGCAGCTATGTAGGCCTCACTTTTGAACTGGCCTCCATCCAGCTGAAGCGATTGCCCGGGGTTCGGGAGCTGGTGCGAAATCCGGCAGCTGGAGATGTTCTGAAGGAAGATGAAGAGCTGAAGTTTCTGGTGGATGAAACTGGTGTGACATCCCTTCGACAAATCAAAGGCCTGTGCATTTCCAGTGAGGACCAGAGGGGCGTGAGATTTTTGCATTTTGTGCATTTTGTGAGTCTTGTAGGGATGATTCACAAGGTCTTATGGAGCCAACGGAGTCATGATGAGTCATGGGTTGTTTGTCACAAGGGCAGAATCTCCACGTTTGTGTGACAGATGTTTAAAGGTTAGGTCCCGATTAGGTGCCTGAATTGCCAAATTTTGTGCTACGAGCCCGAGACCTCAGGATGCTCTGTGGGCCCTTGGCATGGAGCGTGAGCGTCGTCATTTGTATGAAGCCTGTCAGCATCGTGAGAGGTCATCAGGCCGAAATATACAAACATGTAGGCAGGAAGACACTGTATAAATGGCTTGATCGCAGAATACATTTCAAGGATATGCGTATGATATGCAGAATGTATTCTACCAATAAAAGGCTGAAATTTGAATGTGTTTGCGGACATACTACCCTCGTATAAACCTAATCCATGGGGGATCCTCCATTCCATTTGAGATGATTCACCTCTAGTTGGGGGTGCAGTTCCAAGTTATAAGATGTTTATAAGATTTTATAAGTTGATATACAAACCATCGTTGGGGGTCATTACCATACTTAACTACCAAGTATTGGTTGAATCTGGGGCTGTTCATTGCCCCTGCTGATCAGGAAGTCAGCCTGTCGCCGTCCAGTGAACTTCTCGAGGAGCCTTTGGACTTTGATGTATCTTGGCAACGATTGTCACAGTCAAATCTGGGACTCTCAGAAAGCCACTGGTTTTCTTTGTGCCGAAATGGGGCATGTTTTGGGACTTGGGATATTACAGATGATCCAAATATTTAAGGAATCAGACGTTGGGAGCATCGTTGATTGCTGGTGCAGACGACCGCAGGGAGGCAGAACATCGCTACTAGCCAGAAACATCCGAACACCACAATAACAACAAACAATTACGACGGCAAAAAAACAAAACCAACCAAATCCTGCAGCCAATTCCATCTCCATCCAATTCCTGCAAGGTCATGCGGCAAGTCTTTGGGGCGTGCCCAATTGCCATTCGGGGCAAGGACTGATCACACTGATCTAAAACAGACACGATCAGACTCGCAACTTTTGTTCTCCTAGAAACCCGCTGACAAGAAATTGATTAAATTGATCAAGATGTCAAGAATATTTCGTTTGAACACTTCAACATCTTCAACCTCCCCTTTTCTCGGTCAGATCCAGGAGTCCGACATCCCGGTGGCTGGAGACATCGTCCTCCTGGAAGCGGATGAACGCTACGTGGGCACCGCCATGTGGCAAGAGGCAACGGAGAACTGGAGATCCAAGTGGTAGATGATCATAGGACTTGCACTTCGATCTAGCTATAGTTATTCAGAGATTATGATGACACATTGTAAGCCATTAATTCATTAAGTATAGAACCGGTGTAAACCAGACAGTGTCGAATGGGATAGAACGGGATTATTATATCGACAAAAAGGGCATTGCCGACATGCTGAGCCAACTTCACATCACTTCGAGGCAAGTCTTGGATCCTTAGTTGATCCTCGTGAATCAAACTGTGAATTTGAAGAAGTACAGTAGCTGGTGGATTCAAGTATACCATTACCATACCATTATTTGCCTTTAAGCCTTTAACTATAACATATTATAACATACTATCACATACTATAGCTTTTAATTGTTGTTAATTCTTGACTTTAGTTCAATGGATGGATCCCATTGAGATCATTAAGCGATCTCTAACTGGGACAATTACTCTGATTTGACCAGTTTTTGAGGTGGCTAACCACCAACCAGCTTTCCTTTCGCACTGCAGGAGTTCTCCATTACTCGTATTGTTCCTAATTCCAGCCCGCAGCGCGTGGGTGGAGTGCATGATAAACTGAGCGGCTTGGATGAAGTGATGGGATGGTTCGATAGATGGTTGGCGTTGATGGGGGTTGCTGCTGGTTGCTGATTCACCCTTTGTTTTTATACCCAAACCTGGTGAGAACGAACAAGATCAGGTGCACCTTGCTGATTTGACTGGGTTCCATTTTTGGAGATTTGAACCACAGACTCATTGAACACTGCTTGAATATTCAGTGATATTCAGCGATAAATTAGTGGGACAGTTCGGGGTTGAATTGAGGTGTGATTCCACTACATTTTTTGAGCGCCTTTTGTTTTGACCCTTGAACTACACAACTACACCCACCTATACAATCGGGGAGCTGCGGTGTGATCCATGGCCAGCCAGAGGATGTGTGCTGGTTTGCCTTGGTATGGCCACCTTGATCGCGCTGGTAACACTGGAAGTTGTCGATCTGTCTGCTGGGGCTGGGATTTTTGTATCTTGCCAGCAGGCTGCCAGCGTTGCAATGTCAGGTTGACTTCATCAGAAGCCCCCAATGAAGCATCTGCAAAAGACAGTGATTTTCTGTTTTTTCTACTGGCCCTGCCCATACTGTACTTTCATTGTAATAGTTTTGAAAGGTAGGAAGGCGCAGTAATGGCTTTGTTGGAATAGGAGCAATCCGAAGTCCGAACTAGGTACTGTTGTTGGTGCTGAGCAATGCCTACAGCATGTCAAGTGTTGCTCGTCATGCAATACCGCCGGAGGCTGTGACATCATTCCAAGACCGATCGCGGGATCAATGCCGTGAAAGTTGATTAGATGATCAGAGATGATTAGATTTGACATGATGATTCACAAGGTGATTCACTAGACGGCTAGACAATTCACTGCATTATTCATGAGATAATTCAGATGATTCCAATTGATTCCACAGATGATGATGTATGATGTATATTGATGTATGATGTATGGAACTGTGGGATTCCTGGCATCGGCGCCATTCTGATCCACCAAGCATACCAAGGTTTATAGGAACATCAAGGGCCCAGTTCTTTTGACCATCGCAGGTGCAGAGTTTCTGGAAGGGATTTGTTCGTCAGTGGAGGATTAAAACGCTAAGATGTTGGATTTTTGGGGACCAGAACCAGCTTTGGAGCTTGGGCCTCTAGCCTGATGCAGGTGCCAGCGGTTTGTCTGCCGCCTTGCAGGGGACTGGCATTGCTATGCCGCCTGACTTTGATCACAGGGATGATGCTGGATGAGACGCGCTAGAGCCGCTAGGGATAGGCGCAACATACCAAAACACCGCCAAGATTTACTAAATGTTGTTTTTTGCAGGTTTTTTTTTGCAGATGTGTGGTGTTGTTGATGTTGGTTGAAGAACAATGAAACAACAGGCATGGGAGAGTCTGATCCCAACAGCTGGGCCACGCTCAGGTTTGCGGCCAAAGAGCTGACGAAGTGTGCCATGCCCTATGGCCCCATCGGGATTCGGGCGGCGGTGTATTTTCTCTGCGCCTTCCTGACAATGTTCATGAACAACTCTGCCACAGTTGTAGCTGAGCCGCAGGGGGAAAATGGGGTTGATATTGACGATATTGGGTGTGACTTCCTCAGGGGTTGGGATGAAAGCGAGTGCTGAACCTTAGGTCCTTAAGCATCCTTAAGTTCTGTCTTTCAATTCCAAGCCTTTTTCATCCGTTTTTTTGAACCTCGGGCCATCAAGGATCCTGAAGGTATCAAGGCATATCAAGGCCTTTGGTTGCTGCCTCCACATGCTCCACTTCCCCTGGTGGCCCCGAGGCCATCATCGGCCCCATGTTAGCCACCATTGCTCGTAGCACCTGTGCACCCACGGATATCACCTGTCAGCAGAAGAGCATCAAAGCCCTGGCGCATGTCATGACCTTTGCGGCTGGAACCTGTTTGACGTCGCCCTTGGGATATCAGACCAACTTGATGGTGCCTTGCCGCCTTGCCAAACAAGAGCAGCAATAAGGAAAATCACGGAAAATAGGTACTGTAATTATGGACAAATGATAAGCAATGGTCGTGCTGCCGTAAAGAATGAGAAACGTGAAAGGTAGTTCAGTAACCGCATTCCATACCATCCTGGACCAGTTTTTTTGACTGTGATCTCTCCATGATCTCTCCTTGGGGAACGGGTTTGAATGGCATGGGCATGGGTTTCAGGTGTCCCCAACGCGACCAATGAATTCTCGGGCGGATGGAACATGTCCTGGCACCGGAGATATGATCAGTTTCATGCAATTGACAGTGGTCAGACTTTATTATATATCATTATATTATATTATATTATATTATATTATATTATATTAATATTATATTATATTATATTATATTATATTATATTATATATATATCTTTATTTTGAACCAACACTTCAACAACAGTTGCAGCAGTGAGTGCACTATTACCTGTTTTAGAGGATGTTTTAGATAGTTGCCCAGTGAGCCAGCTATGCAAGGTGATGAAAGATGGTGGCTACACATTTGCTGACTTTGCCAAGTATGGTGGGCTCGTTCAGGCACGGAGAAGGAAAGCCATGGGAGTCATCAGATATTCCGTCAAATGTTTTTTTTTTTTCAGATGTTTTTCCACGGCTGATCTTGCAAACTTGTTGGTTTGTAGATCTTTCAGTCGGCACGGCGGTAATTCCCTGCTTGCGTTGTTGCTGGTCCTGGCACCAGGTCTTCCATTTGATTTGTTGCGTCCTGGTGGTATCATTGCTGGTGGATATGTTCGACCTTTGAAATCCCTCGACCACCCTCGACCTGAGCAAAGAGATGGCAGATTTTCTGGAAAGAGTCGGATCTGATTGCCCACCCCAATCTCAACCCGTTTTGGTACAAGGATTACAAGTATCAAGTAGGGGATACTGTCAGACTAACGTTTAGAAGTTTAGAGGGATATAGAATGATGTATAGTTCAAGTTCTAAGTCCTAGATGTCCAAAGACTTCTCGAACTTGGCCACTACTTTTTGTCGTTCCTGCCACGTTTAGGGAACATGCCATGTACCTTGAACTTGGCACATTGGTCAACCTTTGATTCTCCGCAGCTGTGATGGCAAGAGCAACTGAATCGACTACACGCAGCTGAGCCGTTTGGGCTGTTGGATTTCTTTTGTTTTGTGGAGCGAAGATGGCTCCATCAGGATCGGAGAGGGTGGACTTCGATTGATTCTATTGCCATCTATTGCCCATGTCGATGGTTTTCTGCACGATCACAATCGATGACCAACCATATAATATTATATTGTAATAATATAATATAATATAATATAATAGACATATCTTCAGATAAGAAAACAAGAAACAACACATCATATGATATCTTATATGTACATAGCCAATGTATGTTGTTGTAGTACTGCTAGTTGTCTATTGTATCATATCCATTGTTCGTTGGTTGTTTCATGTCGCTTCCCACATTGTTCACAGTGACGTTTTTCCCGCTTCAGCCGTGGCAGGACAACGCTGTGAGCCGGTGGAATACAATGTGCGCGCCGGGAGGCTCAGTGTTGCATAGTGTATCATAGTGAAAAAGTGCCTGAGCGGTGCATTGTTGTAGAATGTTGTAGATGTGCTATTGCCATTATTGCCCCCATATAGCCCCGGAATCAACAGGTGTGTGTTGATTGTGTTGTCATCCATAGGGGTCAATTTGGATGTGAAGATCCGCCCAGGACCTCATCATTTATGCCTTGGGCATCGGATCTCGTGATTTGCGCTATGTCTACGTGCCCGATCTGAGACAGATGTGGTCGACGTGGATGTTTGTGGTACCCATGATTTCTCCATACCCATAGGATCCATGTATGGTATATATGCTAACATTGGGGGTATATTGATGGTAAATGTTACCATATATAGCATACATGGATCCTATGGGATATGCGACCATTGGCCGTTTTTGCGGAATGATTTTACATGACATCTGAAGGATGCGTTGGCAACTCGCTTCATGGACGTTGAAATCGAGTTGTTTTTTTTGTCGGCGCGAAAACCATGTTTGCAAGCACATCAATCACCAACCACTCAGGAGAAGGATCCCAACTTCGCTGCTTTCCCCACGTTTCCCGTGGACCTTTGGTTGCAATGTATGTCATTTGATGTAATTTGTAAGTATTTGCATTTATGCTTGTTGAATGGCCAAGAAAGCCGGGTGAAAAAGTGGAAGTTAGCCTTTCGTCAGGTTCAACAAACTAGCAACCCCAAAAGAAATTGCCACTGAGGCCCTCTATTACAAGGGCACCTCTTTTGATGTGCTGCCGTTCCCGTCGCCCATTTTGGTGCCTCGGCTCATTGCCTGTGGATCATGGAAATTGATTTTCTGTGTTTGCAGTCGTGTTGGCGGTAAGTCTGTAGACACCTCTATTAATCCTGTGCACATGTACCATTTGCTATTGGAATCATTTAGAATTCAAGAACCTAAAGCATTTGTCCTGAAGGATTCCAAAACATATCCAAGTGTGCTATTTCATGCTATTTCCCAGCACTAGATTCACTAGATCATTGTTGATCAACTTTACCTCTTGTCCATTGCCTGGTCAGGACGCCTTTCCAGTGCCGGAGGTGTCCGGGGTCAAGGTCTGGCTGGACGCAGGCATCACCATCGAACGCTTTGCAGAGCTGCCCAGCACCGGAGGACGCGGCCTGGCGGAAGCGGTCTGGGGTGGACACAGACACAGGGGGTCCTGGGCTGGAAGATATCGTTAAAACCTGTGAAAAATATGTAAGATCCGAATTCATTGATGTCCAATTATTGTTTTTTTGGGGGGCATTGCGGTTTCATATCGTTTTTTTGATATCCAACATATTTGTAGGTGAAGACAAAAACTGCTGGATGGGTCACGGAAGGTAGCATGGGGGGATGAATATCTCTATGCTGTTTTGGGATGACGTTACCAGGATTAGGATGTTCTCCTGAAGCTAAAATAATAGCAACTAGATTCAGATGGAAAGGCAATGCCTGCAAGGCACAAAATGTCCTCCCAATTTTGATATTGGACGATTTTGGAAGGGGAACGAAAACGGGACGCACAGGATCCCCCAGTTTGGGACTCACCGATATCGTATGTGGCTATGAGTCAAAACCAAACACCAAGATGGGTTGCTTTTCACATCCCCAATCCATGCCTTAGCCGTCCTTAGCCATGATCTCTGCAACCCCAGGTTTCACCTTGGAAGGTGGTGTTGCTTCGCTTCAGCCAAAGGGCAAAGGTGCTTTGATGGAAAAGCCACCTGGCCATACCTGGCCTGCTGGGGGACATTTGAACGATGGTGTGAGGGTTGGACATAGTTGTTTGCTTCAGAAATTTGATCAAATTTGAATGATTGAATATGACTGGACATGGCTGGACAATCTTGGACACCAAACATGGCCAAATATGTGGTTACATTCTTTAAATACATGTGACTTATTTGACCCGATACTGTCAGCAATAATATATGGGTTTGATTGTTCTTGCGGTCTCCTTTTTGTTCACCGAATTGTCATCATGTTCCTCATTTAAATGGCTATGTAAAGGTATACCGCATTTTCAGACGCACCATATAACCCCTCTATTATATAATCCTCTCTCTCTCTCTATACATATATGTATAGAGAGAGTAATATATATATATATATTAAATACACACAATTAAACGCGTTCATATACTGGGCCAGTTCAATTACCCAGCTTTGTAACTTGGCCTGGAATCTCCAAGGCTCTACGACGTGAAAGATGAGTCCGGCAAGACCTACTACCGTATGGTGCCTGGGACCTTTGCACGAATTTTTGCAAGGCTGTTGGTCTGGATGTTCTATTATGTTTTATTGCATGACTGAAATCCGGCTGAAATTGACGACAAAGCGATTCCAAAGCTTCTGACCAGTTGCCATAGCCTGGTCTTAGATGCTAGCACCGTCTAGCACCCGTACTGCAATTAGATAAAGATAAATAAAGCAGTCCTTTTTCAAACTTAGATTGTTTGCACACAATATCTTTGGATTCTAGTCCACCTGTGATCCATTTCTGTTCCATTTTGATGGTCATCAGAGTCATCATGCACTACATGATGGACTATGGTAACCCATTGGTAACCCCATTGGTAACCCCATTGGTAACCCCATTGGTAACCCCATTGGTAACCCCTATTTAAGTTCAATCATCAATCAGTAGGGATTGACGCCATAGGTCGACGTCTCCTACCTGGTGGGTGCCCATGATGTGGACGCCTTCGGCACTACCCTGACGGTCCCTGTGGATGTCACGAAAGCCGTGGGATCTCGAGCACCCACGTGGCGGGTGGAGGAAACCATGGAGGCTGGACCGTATCAAATCATAGTCAACTTAGTTGAAACATGTTAAGAAAGCTGGAAATATATGGAAATATAGGAAATATTCATGGACATATAATATGTCGAATTATGGTGATATGTTGAAAATATAGGTGAAATGGATTGAAATGCTTGAACCTAGTTGATGGCTACATTTCTGCCTCACTTTGTGCTGTAAATGGATCGCAGGCAGGCGTCGCCTGCGTCTACCGGCTCTCGGGGGACTACAACCCACTGCACCTGGATCCCGGCTATGCCAAAAGTGCTGGCTACGAGCATCCCATTGTGCACGGCAAATGTAACTTGTCAGCTTCATGAAGATAGACATGAGAGATCATGCAAGATGAGGAATGTGAGGGGACACAAGGGACAAGCAGTTGTAGAGTTCAAAATATTCAGGATGGCTGCGGAATATTGCACATATCCTGCATGATCGATGATGATATTGATGATTATTGATGCTTACGACTTAATTATGACTTTTGAATTTGATCGTGAATGCGGGTATGCGTCTGATATCGTTTGATGGTGTTTGATGCTTGAAATCCGTTTTGTTCTTAATCAAGGTACCTTGGGTCATGCTGCAAGGATGCTGCTGAATACCCTCGCAGGCCCTGCATCCAGGGTCACCAGGAAGACTTCTTGATGCATTCTGCATGATTTCTGTATGATTTATAATGGTTTATATATGATTATTTTGATAGGTAGTTCATGGTAGTTCCAAGTTCCAACCCCACTGGCCATCACTGTCCATGGTGGAGCTTACCAGTGGGACCAGGTGGCGATCACCGTCGTTTTAGAAGTTTGCAGCTGCGATATGCTTCACCAGTGATCCCGGGACAGACGTTGGTCACAGAGATTTGGGACCTTTCGTCGGAGGAGCTGCTTGGACCAAAGAATCATCAAACGACTAGGTATAGTGGGTACAGATGGGTACAGGCTGTACAGTATGTTATCTCTGAAAATTCTGAAAGGTTGCAGGGTTCAATTTGGTCTTTGTGGATTAGGTGCAATTAACATGCTTTGTAAAGGTCATGCACTGTTTGAAACCCAAGGTTTCAGGTGTTAGATTCTGATAAATCCAAGAGTTCATCAGAACTCATTTCCATCCCATTTCCCATGGCCCAGCGCCACTTCGCACGTTGCACGTCGCTGCGAGGTTTCTTTTTCAAGTCCTTGTCAAGGAGACTGGCAGCTTGATTGTGGTGCATTACAGTGAAAAAAATGATGTGAAAACCACTGGATCTCAGAGGTGGAACACAGGAAAACCACTGGAAAACATGTTGGACATTCCTAGAATTTCCTGGAGGCCGTGAGACTTTTTGATTCACAGAAGTCCAAGTTTCAGAGGCATGCAGTCCAGCTGGTCATCCGAAGAAAACATCAGAATCAGAATCAGTATGTTTCCTCCAGCTATTAAATGGCTAAGGGTAATCTCATAATCAGCCTGTAATCTGGGAGACAGCTACTATTAATTATGACTATATCTTGTCACCTCAGCCAATCCTGAGGCAAAGTCTGTGTGAGCAATGGGTATTTAAAACTGCTCCCAGAATGCAAACTCTGAGACAAAAAGGCCTGCTGATTGCTAGTGTCGCTGTCTCATGTCACTTTTTCATCAGGGATTTTCATGCCAAGAAAGTGGATGACCCGGATGACCCGGATTTTCAGCTTGCCATTGAACCACAGCATGCCGCTGCCACCAGCTGCTTAAATCTGCAATTGCACCCTGTTGGAGCAGGACCCTTTCACAAGCTCCCGAAAAAATCATGGGAACGGATGTAAATGGAAAATTCAGCTGGATCCATTCTTGATCATCCTTGTCAGTGAGTCAGGTGTATGACAATGTTTTAACATGTAGCCTTTCACGTGAGATTCCGATATCAAAAAGAATCCGTGCTTCTGCAATGCGGCCAATGAGTCAAGAAGCTCTCACAGCTGCCAGAAGTCTACACGGTAAAGCAATCGCGGGTGTGACACCATCGGCCAGCCTTACCCTTTCAATCCCTTTCAGATCATGAGGGTGCGAGTTTTGGATCTCCAATCGTTTTTATAACCGGGTGACCGCCGCCATGTGGAGCTTTGCACGTGGCAGCCCTGCCTATGCTTCGGTGCGCGGCTGGGTGGGGGGGACGTGAGACTTGACAACTCCAAGGGCTTCGCCCACAACTCTTGGGACTCAAGTCGCTTGAGGTTTGAAAAACCCGTTGATGGAACTGAACTTCTGCAACCAGTGATGATTCATTGGATAAAAATTCACAGTTGCACAGTTACATCATCTTACATCTGATTCTCCCCGCATCGTTTTGTAGTATTTTGTGGTTGTCAACAGGTCCAGCAAACGAGAGGTCGGCAAGGATGGCAGGCTGTCTGGGCCGCATCTTTGCTGCTTGGAGCTCGGTTGGCAGCCATGAAGGTATGGCGAAGACATGTTGTTTGACATTTGGCAGATCTTATGGCAGATCTTAAACAAACTTTATATATAGATACAATTAATTCTCCTGGTGTGATTTGGATCATTTGACTTGCTCTCTAAGTTTGGGCCGTGACCATTCGTGACCCAAATACATCGACTTTTGCTAAGGCTCCTAGCGCTACATTTTTCCGTATCGTCTGCATTTTCAATGTTCAGGCATGGGGCTCCATGTCGGAACTGGATGAGAAAATAGCGTAGAATAGCGTAGCGGAGGAAGTGGAAACGAACAACTATAGCAGAATATAGCAGATATTGTTGGTAGATATTGTGGGTGTAAAGTCTGTCAGGGTGTCAGGGCATGATCGATACTTTGTCGGAATTTGCAGAGCAGCGAAGTGTTTTGTCTCTTAGTTCACCTCTTCAGGACATGGACAATGCTAAACCCAATAACAACCCATTCCCAGTAACCATTGGTGGAGGCAGACAAGCCGAGCGGCGCCGACACAGATGCGAGCGAGGCGCCGATCCTTCTGCCAAGTTGCACTGAGCAGAAAAAGAAAACAAACACACAACTATATTGTAATAACATGTAATAACTATATATGATTTATATAATATACGAAATTTGAACAATTTTGAGGGATGTAATATGTCAAATTGAACCCATCAGCATTGTTCTTGGGGATTTGTCAGCCTCCATTGCTGTTCTTCTTCATTTGGTACGACTTGGCCAGTTACGATCGCAAGAAACTCAACACGGAAGCCAGCTTTACAGAGGGCCTCATGAGGTGTGGAACATGGGCAGAGGAAGCTGACAGATCAAGAATGTGGACCACTGGGGTTCAAGAAGGTTCAGCATGGTGTGGATCAAAACTCAAAGGCCTTGGAAACCCAGTCAATATATGTCGATATCAGCAATTATTCGTAGATCATATTGATTCATATTGATCAAGTACAGGAGACCCCAACTTTGATCCATTTTTGGCTACCCAATGTCCCACAGGATCCGGAGCCAGGTCGTGGGAAGGCCTCTTTCAGCCAAAGGAGCCCGAGTTGACACCAGAGGCTTGGGGCATCTTGGGGCCAAAGATTGGAAGGTTTCCATATTTCCAATGCAAATGCTTTGAATGTCTTTCAATTTTCTTCACAGTTTTCTGGATTTGGAGCAACAAGGATGGACGCACGCAAATCTTTTTCACTCCATTTCGTCCCAAAAGTTTGGATTGCTGGGAATATGTCAGTCGGAGGTTTGAAACTGTGAATTTGCCACATGTTCTTCGAGAGCTTGACCTTGGAATTTGTTTCAATATGAGCATTTTTGACATTCTAAGTCTTAGTTGGAAAGCTACAGAAATTAGCTCTTTCAGTATGAGCTTGGATTTTTTTTGTCATTTTTCAGCATCTTTATGGTCGTCCGTAGCTGTTTGTACAGATTTTGCCTCAAGCACTCAGGGACGCTATTTTGCTCAGCGTCGACATAGCCATGGCACTCAGATCCGTTTTGTTCGCTTGCCTCATCCTTGCGAGCGTTGAAGCTTCTTTCAACATGAACAAAATCCCAGATGGCTGCTTGCACTTGGCAATGTACAACTGGACCTGCGACGAAAGCAATCCAACATTTGACTACAACAGTGCTTTCGCAAAAGTTCATTTTGCGTGCCAGGGCAAGTGGACGTGCGTGACAACTACTAATGCAACGTGTTGCTGAGACGTTGCCAGTCCATTGGATGGCGGCGTGTGAGACCACGTGTGGAGCTTGGTAGCGGGCCTTGAGAAGGATTGCTTCGCTCACGGAGCGACGTGAAAAACAGTGCTCTTAGCCGATGCTCTTTTGATTAGACCGAGCACGCGTGGAGCTTGGTAGCGGGCCTTGAGAAGGATTGCTTCGCTCACGGAGCGACGTGAAAAACAGTGCTCTTAGCCGATGCTTTTTTGATTGAAAAGGTCTGCAGGTAGCAAGGGTTGAGGGCGTCAAGTAGGAATATGGCATTGCTTCACTAGAGCATTCATGCCGGTGAGCCTTCACAAGCTTGACATTCAATGCATTCATGCCTGATAAAAAAAAAACTCCCAAATGCTTGAGAAGACTAGCACCAACAAGGATGGACGCACGCAAATCTTTTTCACTCCATTTCGTCCCAAAAGTTTGGATTGCTGGGAATATGTCAGTCGGAGGTTTGAAACTGTGAATTTGCCACATGTTCTTCGAGAGCTTGACCTTGGAATTTGTTTCAATATGAGCATTTTTGACATTCTAAGTCTTAGTTGGAAAGCTACAGAAATTAGCTCTTTCAGTATGAGCTTGGATTTTTTTTGTCATTTTTCAGCATCTTTATGGTCGTCCGTAGCTGTTTGTACAGATTTTGCCTCAAGCACTCAGGGACGCTATTTTGCTCAGCGTCGACATAGCCATGGCACTCAGATCCGTTTTGTTCGCTTGCCTCATCCTTGCGAGCGTTGAAGCTTCTTTCAACATGAACAAAATCCCAGATGGCTGCTTGCACTTGGCAATGTACAACTGGACCTGCGACGAAAGCAATCCAACATTTGACTACAACAGTGCTTTCGCAAAAGTTCATTTTGCGTGCCAGGGCAAGTGGACGTGCGTGACTACTAATGCAACGTGTTGCTGAGACGTTGCCAGTCCATTGGATGGCGGCGTGTGAGACCACGTGTGGAGCTTGGTAGCGGGCCTTGAGAAGGATTGCTTCGCTCACGGAGCGACGTGAAAAACAGTGCTCTTAGCCGATGCTCTTTTGATTAGACCGAGCACGCGTGGAGCTTGGTAGCGGGCCTTGAGAAGGATTGCTTCGCTCACGGAGCGACGTGAAAAACAGTGCTCTTAGCCGATGCTTTTTGATTGAAAAGGTCTGCAGGTAGCAAGGGTTGAGGGCGTCAAGTAGGAATATGGCATTGCTTCACTAGAGCATTCATGCCGGTGAGCCTTCACAAGCTTGACATTCAATGCATTCATGCCTGATAAAAAAAAACTCCCAAATGCTTGAGAAGACTAGCACCAACAAGGATGGACGCACGCAAATCTTTTTCACTCCATTTCGTCCCAAAAGTTTGGATTGCTGGGAATATGTCAGTCGGAGGTTTGAAACTGTGAATTTGCCACATGTTCTTCGAGAGCTTGACCTTGGAATTTGTTTCAATATGATCATTTTTGACATTCTAGTCTTAGTTGGAAAGCTACAGAAATTAGCTCTTTCAGTATGAGCTTGGATTTTTTTTGTCATTTTTCAGCATCTTTATGGTCGTCCGTAGCTGTTTGTACAGATTTTGCCTCAAGCACTCAGGGACGCTATTTTGCTCAGCGTCGACATAGCCATGGCACTCAGATCCGTTTTGTTCGCTTGCCTCATCCTTGCGAGCGTTGAAGCTTCTTTCAACATGAACAAAATCCCAGATGGCTGCTTGCACTTGGCAATGTCACAACTGGACCTGCGACGAAAGCAATCCAACATTTGACTACAACAGTGCTTTCGCAAAAGTTCATTTTGCGTGCCAGGGCAAGTGGACGTGCGTGACAACTACTAATGCAACGTGTTGCTGAGACGTTGCCAGTCCATTGGATGGCGGCGTGTGAGACCACGTGTGGAGCTTGGTAGCGGGCCTTGAGAAGGATTGCTTCGCTCACGGAGCGACGTGAAAAACAGTGCTCTTAGCCGATGCTCTTTTGATTAGACCGAGCACGCGTGGAGCTTGGTAGCGGGCCTTGAGAAGGATTGCTTCGCTCACGGAGCGACGTGAAAAACAGTGCTCTTAGCCGATGCTTTTTTGATTGAAAAGGTCTGCAGGTAGCAAGGGTTGAGGGCGTCAAGTAGGAATATGGCATTGCTTCACTAGAGCATTCATGCCGGTGAGCCTTCACAAGCTTGACATTCAATGCATTCATGCCTGATAAAAAAAAACTCCCAAATGCTTGAGAAGACTAGCACCAACAAGGATGGACGCACGCAAATCTTTTTCACTCCATTTCGTCCCAAAAGTTTGGATTGTTGGGAATATGTCAGTCGGAGGTTTGAAACTGTGAATTTGCCACATGTTCTTCGAGAGCTTGACCTTGGAATTTGTTTCAATATGATCATTTTTGACATTCTAAGTCTTAGTTGGAAAGCTACAGAAATTAGCTCTTTCAGTATGAGCTTGGATTTTTTTTGTCATTTTTCAGCATCTTTATGGTCGTCCGTAGCTGTTTGTACAGATTTTGCCTCAAGCACTCAGGGACGCTATTTTGCTCAGCGTCGACATAGCCATGGCACTCAGATCCGTTTTGTTCGCTTGCCTCATCCTTGCGAGCGTTGAAGCTTCTTTCAACATGAACAAAATCCCAGATGGCTGCTTGCACTTGGCAATGTACAACTGGACCTGCGACGAAAGCAATCCAACATTTGACTACAACAGTGCTTTCGCAAAAGTTCATTTTGCGTGCCAGGGCAAGTGGACGTGCGTGACAACTACTAATGCAACGTGTTGCTGAGACGTTGCCAGTCCATTGGATGGCGGCGTGTGAGACCACGTGTGGAGCTTGGTAGCGGGCCTTGAGAAGGATTGCTTCGCTCACGGAGCGACGTGAAAAACAGTGCTCTTAGCCGATGCTCTTTTGATTAGACCGAGCACGCGTGGAGCTTGGTAGCGGGCCTTGAGAAGGATTGCTTCGCTCACGGAGCGACGTGAAAAACAGTGCTCTTAGCCGATGCTTTTTTGATTGAAAAGGTCTGCAGGTAGCAAGGGTTGAGGGCGTCAAGTAGGAATATGGCATTGCTTCACTAGAGCATTCATGCCGGTGAGCCTTCACAAGCTTGACATTCAATGCATTCATGCCTGATAAAAAAAAACTCCCAAATGCTTGAGAAGACTAGCACCAACAAGGATGGACGCACGCAAATCTTTTTCACTCCATTTCGTCCCAAAAGTTTGGATTGCTGGGAATATGTCAGTCGGAGGTTTGAAACTGTGAATTTGCCACATGTTCTTCGAGAGCTTGACCTTGGAATTTGTTTCAATATGATCATTTTTGACATTCTAAGTCTTAGTTGGAAAGCTACAGAAATTAGCTCTTTCAGTATGAGCTTGGATTTTTTTTGTCATTTTTCAGCATCTTTATGGTCGTCCGTAGCTGTTTGTACAGATTTTGCCTCAAGCACTCAGGGACGCTATTTTGCTCAGCGTCGACATAGCCATGGCACTCAGATCCGTTTTGTTCGCTTGCCTCATCCTTGCGAGCGTTGAAGCTTCTTTCAACATGAACAAAATCCCAGATGGCTGCTTGCACTTGGCAATGTACAACTGGACCTGCGACGAAAGCAATCCAACATTTGACTACAACAGTGCTTTCGCAAAAGTTCATTTTGCGTGCCAGGGCAAGTGGACGTGCGTGACAACTACTAATGCAACGTGTTGCTGAGACGTTGCCAGTCCATTGGATGGCGGCGTGTGAGACCACGTGTGGAGCTTGGTAGCGGGCCTTGAGAAGGATTGCTTCGCTCACGGAGCGACGTGAAAAACAGTGCTCTTAGCCGATGCTCTTTTGATTAGACCGAGCACGCGTGGAGCTTGGTAGCGGGCCTTGAGAAGGATTGCTTCGCTCACGGAGCGACGTGAAAAACAGTGCTCTTAGCCGATGCTTTTTTGATTGAAAAGGTCTGCAGGTAGCAAGGGTTGAGGGCGTCAAGTAGGAATATGGCATTGCTTCACTAGAGCATTCATGCCGGTGAGCCTTCACAAGCTTGACATTCAATGCATTCATGCCTGATAAAAAAAAAACTCCCAAATGCTTGAGAAGACTAGCACCAACAAGGATGGACGCACGCAAATCTTTTTCACTCCATTTCGTCCCAAAAGTTTGGATTGTTGGGAATATGTCAGTCGGAGGTTTGAAACTGTGAATTTGCCACATGTTCTTCGAGAGCTTGACCTTGGAATTTGTTTCAATATGATCATTTTTGACATTCTAAGTCTTAGTTGGAAAGCTACAGAAATTAGCTCTTTCAGTATGAGCTTGGATTTTTTTTGTCATTTTTCAGCATCTTTATGGTCGTCCGTAGCTGTTTGTACAGATTTTGCCTCAAGCACTCAGGGACGCTATTTTGCTCAGCGTCGACATAGCCATGGCACTCAGATCCGTTTTGTTCGCTTGCCTCATCCTTGCGAGCGTTGAAGCTTCTTTCAACATGAACAAAATCCCAGATGGCTGCTTGCACTTGGCAATGTACAACTGGACCTGCGACGAAAGCAATCCAACATTTGACTACAACAGTGCTTTCGCAAAAGTTCATTTTGCGTGCCAGGGCAAGTGGACGTGCGTGACAACTACTAATGCAACGTGTTGCTGAGACGTTGCCAGTCCATTGGATGGCGGCGTGTGAGACCACGTGTGGAGCTTGGTAGCGGGCCTTGAGAAGGATTGCTTCGCTCACGGAGCGACGTGAAAAACAGTGCTCTTAGCCGATGCTCTTTTGATTAGACCGAGCACGCGTGGAGCTTGGTAGCGGGCCTTGAGAAGGATTGCTTCGCTCACGGAGCGACGTGAAAAACAGTGCTCTTAGCCGATGCTTTTTTGATTGAAAAGGTCTGCAGGTAGCAAGGGTTGAGGGCGTCAAGTAGGAATATGGCATTGCTTCACTAGAGCATTCATGCCGGTGAGCCTTCACAAGCTTGACATTCAATGCATTCATGCCTGATAAAAAAAACTCCCAAATGCTTGAGAAGACTAGCACCAACAAGGATGGACGCACGCAAATCTTTTTCACTCCATTTCGTCCCAAAAGTTTGGATTGCTGGGAATATGTCAGTCGGAGGTTTGAAACTGTGAATTTGCCACATGTTCTTCGAGAGCTTGACCTTGGAATTTGTTTCAATATGATCATTTTTGACATTCTAAGTCTTAGTTGGAAAGCTACAGAAATTAGCTCTTTCAGTATGAGCTTGGATTTTTTTTGTCATTTTTCAGCATCTTTATGGTCGTCCGTAGCTGTTTGTACAGATTTTGCCTCAAGCACTCAGGGACGCTATTTTGCTCAGCGTCGACATAGCCATGGCACTCAGATCCGTTTTGTTCGCTTGCCTCATCCTTGCGAGCGTTGAAGCTTCTTTCAACATGAACAAAATCCCAGATGGCTGCTTGCACTTGGCAATGTACAACTGGACCTGCGACGAAAGCAATCCAACATTTGACTACAACAGTGCTTTCGCAAAAGTTCATTTTGCGTGCCAGGGCAAGTGGACGTGCGTGACTACTAATGCAACGTGTTGCTGAGACGTTGCCAGTCCATTGGATGGCGGCGTGTGAGACCACGTGTGGAGCTTGGTAGCGGGCCTTGAGAAGGATTGCTTCGCTCACGGAGCGACGTGAAAAACAGTGCTCTTAGCCGATGCTCTTTTGATTAGACCGAGCACGCGTGGAGCTTGGTAGCGGGCCTTGAGAAGGATTGCTTCGCTCACGGAGCGACGTGAAAAACAGTGCTCTTAGCCGATGCTTTTTTGATTGAAAAGGTCTGCAGGTAGCAAGGGTTGAGGGCGTCAAGTAGGAATATGGCATTGCTTCACTAGAGCATTCATGCCGGTGAGCCTTCACAAGCTTGACATTCAATGCATTCATGCCTGATAAAAAAAAACTCCCAAATGCTTGAGAAGACTAGCACCAACAAGGATGGACGCACGCAAATCTTTTTCACTCCATTTCGTCCCAAAAGTTTGGATTGTTGGGAATATGTCAGTCGGAGGTTTGAAACTGTGAATTTGCCACATGTTCTTCGAGAGCTTGACCTTGGAATTTGTTTCAATATGATCATTTTTGACATTCTAAGTCTTAGTTGGAAAGCTACAGAAATTAGCTCTTTCAGTATGAGCTTGGATTTTTTTTGTCATTTTTCAGCATCTTTATGGTCGTCCGTAGCTGTTTGTACAGATTTTGCCTCAAGCACTCAGGGACGCTATTTTGCTCAGCGTCGACATAGCCATGGCACTCAGATCCGTTTTGTTCGCTTGCCTCATCCTTGCGAGCGTTGAAGCTTCTTTCAACATGAACAAAATCCCAGATGGCTGCTTGCACTTGGCAATGTACAACTGGACCTGCGACGAAAGCAATCCAACATTTGACTACAACAGTGCTTTCGCAAAAGTTCATTTTGCGTGCCAGGGCAAGTGGACGTGCGTGACTACTAATGCAACGTGTTGCTGAGACGTTGCCAGTCCATTGGATGGCGGCGTGTGAGACCACGTGTGGAGCTTGGTAGCGGGCCTTGAGAAGGATTGCTTCGCTCACGGAGCGACGTGAAAAACAGTGCTCTTAGCCGATGCTCTTTTGATTAGACCGAGCACGCGTGGAGCTTGGTAGCGGGCCTTGAGAAGGATTGCTTCGCTCACGGAGCGACGTGAAAAACAGTGCTCTTAGCCGATGCTTTTTTGATTGAAAAGGTCTGCAGGTAGCAAGGGTTGAGGGCGTCAAGTAGGAATATGGCATTGCTTCACTAGAGCATTCATGCCGGTGAGCCTTCACAAGCTTGACATTCAATGCATTCATGCCTGATAAAAAAAACTCCCAAATGCTTGAGAAGACTAGCACCAACAAGGATGGACGCACGCAAATCTTTTTCACTCCATTTCGTCCCAAAAGTTTGGATTGCTGGGAATATGTCAGTCGGAGGTTTGAAACTGTGAATTTGCAAATGTTCTTCATGGGGTTGTTACACCCGTTTGAATCCAGCAAGACCTCAGCATTCGAAGCGTTTCTGCTTGACAGGAACTGGAAGCACAAGAACGGAGGGAGGCCTCCAGCGAAGCAACCGCCAAGGTGGCAGAAAGCATGAAAAAACCGGGAAATTTCTGAATTTCTGGTGGCCAAATTGACCGAAAACTTGCAAGTTGGACGAGTTTGCATTTCAACTCTTGGACATTTAATTTGTTTCCATATTTTTCCTCTACCATGGCCCACTTCTCGCAGTCTTGGATTTCTGAAAGTCGACACTCTGGGTAAACCTTGGTCTGGTTGCGGAGAACCGTGCGTATCTACACTTGGCACTGCATGGTTTTAAGACATGTCAATGCAGCAGACTCAGCCAGGCATTGCAGTCCCTCAAACTGAGTGTGCAAGCTGGCGAAGACGACGAAGGCAGATGAAATTCTCATCTCATTGCTCTGAAGTTTTCATTTTTGCTGAGTTCAACATTTTAATGGTTTAAATTGGTTTAATATGTTTAATGTAGTTATGTATACGTAGTTATTTATACAATACAACGTTCCCTCCAAAGTTCAATACTTCACTGCTCGTGGACACACGTTTCCTTGCCCCATTCCGCTTCTTGGCAGGTATGCCGATTCGCCGAGCAGCGCCCATATCTGTGCTGCAATCCAAGGCATGGGGGTTGTGGCTTTGGAGTTGCAGCTTTGGATGGCGGGTGTGTACATGACCCATCATACTATATGTGGCAACTCCAAAAGTCCAGCGTCAGGATTTTATTTTCAACCCCAATATGTCAGAAAAAATGTCAGGTCCAATTGTCCAATTCAACATGTCTGAGTAAGACCAAACATTAAATTAGGGCTTGTGCAAGAATGTATGTCAGAGTACATGTCAGAATATCTATCACATGAGTTGGCCAGAGCAAATGTCAGAATATGAATTACTATATGTGAGAAGACTTGCCAGAAGATATTTCAGAAGATATGTCAGTGATTGTCAGTGTAGATTTGGACATAATATGTTTCAACATAGATGTCAGGATAAATGCCCGAACAATCTCGAACATATATTTATATCAGAATTGAATCAGAATTAATTTCAGGATGTATGTGTGTGTGTGTCAGCATCCTTGTCGTGGGGATCAGGATCACAGGAAGGAAAGTAATTTTGAATATTCTTGAAATGTGGTTTGTGTCGGTGATCCGTAGCCAACACGAAGCCAGAAACGAAGCCACAATGAGACCTCGACCTTCTCCTCTCTTCCGTTTCTGCTCTTTCTTTCCCTTTTGTCCTTTTCATCCCTGCCTTTTCCTCTCTTCCTTTTCCTTTGTCTTTGTTATCTTCTTTCTCCCCTTGATTGTCGTCTTTTCCGTTGCTGTTCCTTTCTGAAATTTCTTCTTCCATGTCTTCTCTTCTTTTCCCTTTTCCCTTGCCTCTTCCTTTCCTCTTCCTTTCCTCTTCGCTTCCCCCACAGATCATTGCATTTCAGTTGGGAGGTCAGGAAACTAAGCTGGAAAATAAAAAATGAAGCCAAATACCATTATTTATTATCGAACTGAATCATCTATATGTTCAATCCCTCTTTGAGAGATGGTGTATCCTGCAGACAGTTTCTTGAGCAATGTTTAGATTCTAAAACCATCTAAAAACCAATTCATTGCCAAATAGATTCAACGGTGGATTCATATATTCTCCGAGGCAAGGACTTGCGTGGCCTTTGTTTGTGACATGTCCCCAGATGTCCGGGATAAGTAGCATAAGCAAAAAACATCAGGCCAAGCAGAGCATCGTTCTCTTCGCGGTACCTTGGATGCAGGATGTGCCGAAAAACGCCCTTTGACAAGGTGAAATTTGAATTCCGATATGCTCATTCCCGAGGGCAGAAACTATTCTTCCAGTTTTGGTGTTTTTTAAATGTTGACTTCCATTGCAATTGTGGGGCTGTGCTGTTCATGTCAGCATTGGCCAGGATTGGGTTGCCTGGTTGTGTGCACTATTCCCCCTTTTTTTCCACTGGCTGCTCAAACTGGTTGGAACCAAGGTGCCCCAGGGCAAAGAGCGGCTGATCACAGACGTGCTCTTGTCCATGAGGAGTTTGCCATTGATGTTGCATGTTGGATTCCATGTTTTGTCCAGAATTATGTGATAGAATGAGAACATATAACAGAGTGAAAAAGGTTTGTCATCCTCAATACCGGTTACATCCCGTTACCCAGATTTGTTCAGGATCGAGGCGAAAGAGTTTAGCGAACGGAACGTGCTGGTGGTTCCGGCCCGGGGTCGCAGGACGTCCCCCTGAAGGATTGCAAGTCATATCTAGAGTCTAGAGTATACACACAGATTAAAACCATGCAAGTATAAATAAACATATCTTATATACAATATCATATCTAAATCTAAAGTATTTCAACCATTTCATATTTTGAAACATATGTTGTTTCATCCTGGAAGCTAAGGCCATTGTGGATGTCTCCGCCAAGAAGCTTGTGGAGCTTCCACCAAACATCAGGCAGTTTTTCTGGGCCTTCTCGGTGTGGCTTTCACATGTCATGTTCCAACGTGTCGGTAGGGTCCTTGTGGATGTCCTGTTGGGTTTATCCTAACAGATCCCAAATCCAAAGAACATAGTAGACATAGTGATCCCCACTCAGAATATCTAATCATTATAATCATTAGACATAAGATAGATGTAATTCTAGATGGTAGTTTTATAGTTGTTTTACAGTCGTTCCATTGCCAACATCCAACTGGGATCGGTGCCGACAAACCGCTGATCCAGGGATGCCAAGCTGATCAGACAGGGTGCCATTGCCTTGCCGTTGAATGAAGCTGAGGCAGGGCTAATTTCGGGCTGATTTTGTTTGATAGGTAGTAGGCATCGTAGATTATCATAGGCCATAGGCATCTATTTCACAGCATTTCACATAGTATCATATTGCATCTTACTACAATATATATCATATATATATATTATATAATTGTATATATATATATGATAATTATATATATATGACATATATATATGATATATATATATGATATATATATAATGTATAATATATACTTACAATTACATATATACATATATATATGTAGTATACATACATACATACATAACATAACATTACATTACATTACATTACATTACATTACATTACCATACATACATACATACATACATACATACATACATACATACATACAATACATACATACCTACATACAATACATACATACATACGTACATACGTACATACGTACATACGTACATACGTACATACGTACATACGTACATACGTACATACGTACATACGTACATACGTACATACGTACATACGTACATACGTACATACGTACATACGTACATACGTACATACGTACATATGTACATACGTACATACGTACATACGTACATACGTACATACGTACATACGTACATACGTACATACGTACATACGTACATACGTACATACGTACATACGTACATACGTACATACGTACATACGTACATACGTACATACATACATACATACATACATAATATATATATATATATCACATATAGACTATACGTATTTTTATATACAATATGTGTACTATACTTTATATGTATACTATATATATGTAATCTATATATCTAGATAATTGATGACATAATAAGGGATGATTTTGGGGGATGATTTTGGTCACTTGGATGTGTCTGAACATGTGAACGGCCCAACCAGTTTGTGTTACCGACCATGAGATGGTTGATATCCAGGGTATGGTTTGTGTCTGAAAAATGTCTTCAATATGCCTTTAGCAAATTTGTTCAACTTGGCAGTGGAGCATCACAATGTTTACTGTGGGAAACCCATTGACAAACCTCTAACTAGTCTGGTTGAAATCGCCTTTTTGTGCCAGGATGCCTGGGGCGTCACCCTGGCTGCTGAATTTGAAGAAGCCCAGTTGCAAGGCACAGATGAGGCCTGGGAGTGGCAAACCGATGCAGCAGCTGAGGATTTAACACGTCTACTGTAACAAATCTGTGGATTCAATGTGTTAAAAAACAATTTTTTGACGAAGGACCTAAGGACAGTGGAGAGTTTAAGTTTAGCCGAACACATTTTGAAAATTTTAGCTACCAAAGAGGGTGAGTACAGGAGGTGCGTTTGATGCCAAACAAGGAGATATGACATGATTGCCAAACAAGGATTTACTGGATTTTCAATTACAGAACTGGCCGCCTTTGGCTTGCAGGTGTTGCAGATTGGTTTGGCTCTGATCCTGGGGTCTGGAAACCTGTCCTTTGGGCGTGGTGAAACTATCCTCTGATTGTTTCATATCGGAAAGATTCGGAAAGGCAATTCCGATTCATTAAGATAATATGCAATTGTCATCTAAGCTATATGTAGAATTATATAGATATATAGCGGAGTTTTGAGCCAGTCATGCTGTGTTTGTGATGTTTCTTTAGAAGGACGAAGCTGGGATGGCGCAATTTGTTGCTGCCATTTTCAGCACGGGGGTTACGGGATAACTGGGGGCATGAAGATTGAGATTCCTTCATGGATTTATGTACAGACTTTGGCTGGAGGTTTCCTCACAAATTGAATTTTGGAAGTCTTTGGAAAGAAATTGCAAAATCGGTTGAGCTTCCTGCGGCGTTGACATTCAACACACAGCGCTTTTCGACTGAGAGTGTCAAATCTTCAAAGTTGTCAAAATTGTGTGATTTTCATACGAGCAACCGTATTTATCTAGGACAGTGCAACCAGTAATGGGCAGCAGGTTTTGCCCAGGATCCATCATCAGGTGCAGAACGATGTAGGGGGAACTCCAAAAACGAGGTAGGCTTTCTTGATACGCTATTTGAAAAGGTGACTACGTGAGAGTGTTTGAAAACGAAGTCAACACCAGAATCAGGAGGGACTCCTTTAATCTCCTTTCCTTCTAAGCCTATACCAAATAAAAGCTGTCATCATGCATATATGTTGTTGTTTCATGCTGGTTTTATAGATTGCAAATTAATAGAAATGATAAAAAATCATCATTATTCATCACATCCACATGTCTTCAGATGTCTTCAGCATAGAATCATTTAATACACATGCATTAAAATACCAAGATCCCAATGACCCGGTGGATAGTCGTGGATCCCAGCTGTGACCTCCCCAGGCGCGATGGCTCCATTTTGCGAAGGGGCTTCGGACGTCCCAGCTGGAAGGCTCTGTGGTTTGGTTTTGGGGGTTGAAGCATGATGAGAATATAATATGTAATATATATATAATATAATAATATATATATATATTATGATATATATATGTATATACATAGATTCATACATATAGTCATCATATAATGAATAGAGGAATATAGAGGTATGATGGGAATATAGTGAATAGAAAATAATAGAAGTGACTACCATGATTGTTATTTTTTTTGATGTTTGTTTTGGGATCAACAATCATAGGAGTATGCATGGGAATAGTCATGGTGCCTAGAAGTGGATCTAGATTGAGGAAACTTGGGATTTTATGGCTGGTGATGAACCACAAACAAACGAAGAAACTAAAGAAACTGATGGGGGATTCGACATGATGTGACTAAGTAGATGATAGGTTTGATGGTGAGTAACTTGGTTTTGAGTAGTTATAAGCTTTTACACATGATATACCAGAAAACTGGGTACAGGGATGTGTCAAAATTGGGCACCCCCCAAAATAGAATTCCAAAAACTGCTCAAAATTTGCTTGCCCTGGGTCTGAAAATCATATCATATCACTGTTTGAGAACAATCAATCTCATCACTGTTTCTCTGTATCCATTGACTTTTCCTGTCCTTTGAATCCAAGTTTTTTCCCGCTGAAGTGTGACCCTTCGGAACTCAGCTGCAGGTAGTCTTTTCTGAGACGGACACGCTCTGACCCAATCTCAACGGAAAAATGAGACTGGCTGCCCGCATCGCAGTGCTGCTTGCGGATGCGAATTGTTTACGCTTTTACTTTGTCCGTCAGCGTGAACAATCAAACGCAGAATTTGCGAAGGTAGTGCGTGCGCAGCGGCAAAAGGCTGCCATATCTGAAAGCGGAGTTGAAAGAAGGTTGTCCAGGCGAGCTATGACGGAATGCACAGCAACAAGCCAAGCAAGTCCCTTTCTGAAACTCGTCAACCCTCCGAAAATTTTCTCCAACCTAGTCTTATAGGAATATGATGATGACAAGACCCCGGCCGCGATAAAGCACAAGAGGGCCACAGATGCCGGCTCGACCGTCCAAGGCATCACTCATTGGCTTCACAGTATCTACTCAGTATCCTTCACCAACAGCACTAAAATGATGGAGATTATGCGACCACTGTGGCTGCGGGGAGTACATTCAAACAAGTGGAGCAGAATACAGCTCAAAATAGAAGAACACAGGTGCTACAATCGCACTATTTCCATGTTTATAAGCATGATTTTGGTATTTATTTGTTGTTGCTGCTCGGCACGCTCGCTTGTCTTAGCGCATTCCGACACTGGCAGCGAAGCTTGAACTTGCGTTGTGGTTGGCGCATGTTGGCGCCAGATCCTGTACTGAACTGAATGTTGAAAAAATATGTAGCAATGACTGCCTCTATACAGCCCAAAATGCGCAGCGTTCCATCATTCTTTTATGATGATGGGTTCAAGGCGAGGAACCTGCATGGCCGCTACAATGCGCAACAGCAACCATGCGGTGGGTCTCCAGTCTTTCACGGCACCGTCCCGCTTGTGGCGATGAAATCCGTAAATTGAAGTGAGGCAATCCAGAAGCAATAGTGACATATAGGGACTAAGAAAGAAAAGAAAGACATGTGAAGTAACAAAACATAACAAGACTGCTGTATTTAATTTCAGTGAGGGCGAGTGGCATGCTGCATCTTTCGAATTTGCTCCCACCAGGGCCATGGCACCCAAGTTCGCGTTGACACACGCACAGCAGCCCAGTTGGCCTAGCAAGTTGGTGTTTCGCAACGCCATGTTGATCCAACTTCCACAATGCAATCTCGGCGCTGCCGCGATAATCCCGATAGCCTACTTACGGATCTTACGGACTACTTTGTCCATTATTGTTGTCTCAAAAGATGCGCATGATTTCAGAACCCTGATCTTCAGCGGCTGTTTAAAGAATACGTGTGTGAACGCGATTATGATTTCGATGATTTTGGTCGAAAGGCTATTTTGGGGAGACTTGCAATGTCTTGCATTAGATCCAAACAGTCCATCAAGTCACGATCATGGTCCCTTCCTTGGCCATCCGTATCAGAGCAATGTGATTCAGAGGTGTATGGACAAATTTTCAAATGTACACGCAGGCCAGGTTTGTTCTTGAATCAGAGTGACATTTCATGTGCTGACTTTGTGGAGGGCCAGTATCATTGATTACACATATTTAAGCATATCTATGCGAGACAGTCCGGGCCACATATGTGAGATTTAAATTGTGAAATTGATCAAAGGAAGTTGGGAAGCAATCTTCCGAGTTACGGATAAATAGAATTGTGAGATATTGAGAGACTATACATCACAGAACAATACATCACACGACAATACATCACATAACAATACATCCCATATCAATACATCACATCACAATAAATCTCATAACAATACATCACATAACAATACATCACAATTCATCAGAAAACAATACATCACAAAACAATACATCACACAACAATACATCACACACCAATACATAACATAACAATACATCACAAAACAATACATCACACAACAATACATACATCACACAACAATACATCACACACCAATACACCACACAACAATACATCACAAAACGATACATCACATAACAATACATCACATAACAATACACCACGTAACAAGACATCACAAAACAATACATCACATAACAATACATCACCAATACACCACGTAACAAGACATCACACAACAATACATCACATAAGAATACATCACTAATACACCACGTAACAAGACATCACACAACAATACATCACACAACAATACATCACATCACAATAAATCTCATAACAATACATCACATAACAATACATCACAGTTCATCAGAAATCAATACATCACATAACAAGACATCACACAACAATACATCACACAACAATACATCACATAACATAACAAAACGCATTGTAATGGCTGCATGAATGTTGCATGGGACTTGGGTTGGGGAGGAATCCAGGGCACGAAACCTTGTGTTTTCCGTGTAAGGTGACTGCAGCCGGCGATGAAGGGTAGGTCCTGTGTGCGGCGGTTGCGGCTGCGGTCGTTTCGGGGTCGAATCGGTTCCTCCTTGGTGTTCTGCAACGCGTGGATGCAAATCGCGTTGTAATGGCTGCATGAATGCGCACGTGCTGCTGCAAAACGATGCAAAACACTTATAATGGCTGCATGAATGTTGCATGGGACTTGGGTTGGGGAGGAATCCAGGGCACGAAACCTTATGTTTTTCCTGTAAGGTGGCTGCAGCCGGCGATGAAGGGTAGGTCCTGTGTGCGGCCGTTGCGGCTGCGGTCGTTTCCGGGGATTGAGAATTCCAAAGCCATTTTGTCTGACAAGGGGAAGGGTTTGAACACATAGGTAGGTTACTTACCAAGTTCCTCTATTCAACTCCAATGTTCAAAATCAAAAATGCACACGTAGTTCACCTGTTTGCATGGACTTGGGTTCATGGTTTGACTCCACTCTATGATAATCAAGGACATTATTGACAAGTCCTGATGAAGAATGAAGAATGAAGCCCAAAGCTAGTCAGGCAGCTTCAGTCCGGCTTCTGTTCTGTATGAGACCTTATTTTTATCACAGCTAAGTTGCAGCTTGCCAGACGGCACAAACTTTGTAGTACAAAGTAGTACTGGGAAGTATTCTGTGCAAGCTTTGTAGTACAAAGTAGTACAGGGAAGTACTTGGTGCAAGCTTTGTAGTACAAAGTAGTACAGGGAAGTACTTGGTGCAAGCTTTGTAGTACAAAGTAGTACTTGAAAGTGGTTTGTGCAAGCTTTGTGGTGCAGATTGACTGGAGTAGTAGCTCCGCGTCGCCGTCCTTCGGGTAGATATACTGGATGCGCTGCCAGGAAAAAAGGCAACATGAAAGGCATAGGTTTCAGGGTATTGGCGTGAAGATTAAGGACAAGCCACGCATGTGACGTTCGTTGCTATGGGCAAAATAATGTCTGCAGCCGGCAAAATGTCGCGGCGCCGCACGGATGTCCTGAATTTAGCACGCGTTACACAAAGAAATTGGATTAGGTCACTGAGCTAATGAAAGTTGGCGGGCATTGCCGTGCGGAAAGCCAGGATTTGAAACCACCAAAGCCACAAAAGCCAAGAAACCACACAAACCACACAAACCAGCAAACCAAACTGAAACAAATTAACCATCGCAAAAAAAAATCCTTTCATATTATATTTTGGCAGCGTTAAACTAATCTAAGCTATGTTAAGCTGGCAGGTTCCCGAAGGAATCGGGTTCCGCAAGTTCCTCCGGCAGACCCGGGCACATAGAGAAGAAATGCAAGCACACAATACACACCAGTCTTGACTTTTGGAGCGGTTCCCTGACTTTGGTATCCTATGTGGCAAAACCGGGCTGAAAAAATCCATTGCTTAACCCAAAAACTATCAGCTACACATCTGTTTGAACCGAAAAAAATTGTTGGTTGAAGTTGAAACCCCATGTGGTCCCCGAACCGGAAAATAAAAAGGTCCTTTGATTCAGGGTTATGATTCGGGGTGTGATTTGGGGGTGTAGTAGTAGGAGTAAGCGTATGAGTAGGAGTAGGAGTAGGAGTAGTAGTAGTAATAGTAGTAGTAGTAGTAGTCGTCGTCGTCGTAGTCGTAGTCGTAGTCGTAGTAGTCGTAGTCGTAGTAGTAGTAGTAGTAGTAGTGGTAGTAGTAATAGTAGTAGTGGTAGTAGTAGTAATAGTAGTATTAGAAGTAGTAGTAGTACTAGTAGTAGTAGTACTAGTAGTAGTAGTAGTAGTAGTACTAGTAGTAGTAGTAGTAGTACTAGTAGTAGTAGTAGTACTAGTAGTAGTAGTAGTACTAGTAGTAGTAGTAGTAGTATTAGTAGTAGTAATAATACATGGACCTTTGATTTTACATTTTTTTCTTGGTCGACCACCTGTTTTTAATTTGACCAGATTTGCTTGTGACTTGAAAAAATGTATATAAAACAATTTTTTCCGAAAACAAAAAATATTGATTTTCAGGTTGTTTTTGTTGCATCATGTACGTGCTGAAGCCCCGAATTTAAACATTGTCGATGTACTTCAGGACAGGAGAACTGACAGTGATGTTTGGGCAGGTGCTGTGAAATCAGTAATTTTATATTTGCGAGGCATGCGAATTTTAAACGTGCTACGTGAAATCCGATCTGTTTTACCCATGGACAGGTGACACCAAAAAGATTCAACCATTTGACTTCCACTCAACTTGACAGGGAAGTCGTGACATACTGGTATGTTCGTGGTATGCACGCTGTGCTATGTGATGTTCTGGGGTCCAACCAGCAAGGCTATAGTACGCACACCTTTCCATTCATATTGTTGCTGATCTTGTTTTGGTCACGTATGTTTGGTAGATATGCGGAATGTGAAAGGCTCTTTTGCAAACACTTGGCCCGAGAAAGTTTGTGCTTCCAGCAACCGGAAAGAAAAACAATGCGTCGAAAACCGTCGCATAAGCGTCGGAAAAACCAAAAACTAGCTTGTTTAACCAGAAAAATGCGAAAACCGTTGAATTGTTTCATCACTTGTTTTTTAAAAATGTTCATTTTTGCGCCGTAACGATTTTGGCAGCTAAATTCACAGGCTTGGTCCTTGCCATGTAGATTTCTTCTCGCACTTTCTGGGCTGCCTGCATCGTTTTTCTGCGAAGACAAAAACAATGCGCCGGCTTACG